ATTATGATAACAGGCAGCAGGACCAGACTGGCTGTCAGAATGGCTTGGATCTCTGGTGGTAGCTAGCCATGGAGTCCTTAGAAAAAAAGAGATGGACACTACACACTATGGAACTACTTGATGTGTATAATGGGTAGAAAAAAGAAGACGAAAAACTCTAGGTATATCTAATAGTGGCCTGAGTTAAGTGACAATGGAAATTATGGCATCTCAATATCCACACTCAGCCTATTTACAGATACAGAGCCCTGGAGTAAAGGAGAAGACGGGTTCCACTGAGGAGAGATCCTATAAAATTGCATCAAAAACATACTTAAAGTTTTCCTCCTAGCCTTTTCCAATAGAATATGCAGCTATTTATCAAGGAGACAGTACATTTGGGAAACAGATTCACTCAGACTTTTCAGGAGTTACTCAACACTGGCTCTAAGCTGACAGTAACCCTTAGGGACTAGAATGTCACTGTGCTAAACCAGTCAGATCAGTTGTAGATGTCATACTGATAAATGGTGTTTTGGCCTCAATCCATCTCATAGAGGGTCCAGTAGATCCATGGACTCATCTTGTAATTTCCAAGTTTCTAAATGCACAGTTAATGGCTCCTTGAACTATGGAGAAAGGGCCATCAGTGTAGGAAGGGCCAAGTAAATCCCCTAGATGTGCCCCTTCCTACCAAAATAATAAACCCAAAGTACATCCCTGCAGAAACTGCAGAGGAACTATCTTTCAAAGACTTGAAAGATACAGGGATGATGACTGCTATGGCATTCTGACTTCATCAACTTATTTGGCCAGTGCAGAGGACACAGGTCTTGAAGAATGTAGATTACAGTAAATCAAATCAAGTGGTGACTATAATTGCTGTTCCAGAATGGTCTCTTTACTGGAACAAATCAACACAGTACCTAGCACCTAGTATGTATCCAGCAAGCTAACAGAAGCTTTTCTTTTTTTAATCTATTCCAAAACAAACCACCAGAAACTGTTTTCATCTAACAGTCTAGAAGTACACTTTCACCATCATAGCTCACAGCTACACCAACACTCCAGCTATCATTCATTATCTAGTCCACAGTGACTTCGGTCATTTCAACACCTCACTAGTCCACTACACTGGTAGTCCTACCAGCAAATCCTGTATCCTCCAATCCCCACCCATACTTGGTATTATGCAGCTTTCTCATTTTTACCAACCTAATAGGTGAAAAAAGATATGCATTACTGTTTTAGTTTGCATATCTAATTATTTAATAATTTCGTTCTGCTTAAGATTTCCTATTCTGTAATCTACTTATTAACAGCCTTCGCTCATTTTCCACAGGTATCATTGCCCTCTTTTTATTGATTCCCCTGTTAACTTTAGGCACTGCTAGTATGTTCTCTTGTTCTTTCATCTGTCTTTTACTGAATGAAAATCCTTAATTTTTATATAATCAAAGTTATTACTTTTTCACTTTTTTAAGTTTGTGAAGGTTTAAGAAGTCCTTCTCTGCCCTTAGGTAAAGACCTTCTTCAGCACTGTCTTCTATTAATTTTACAGCTTTTCCTTTCACATTTAGATCGTTAATTTATCCAGAGTCCATCCTGTTTATGGTGTTAGGTTTGTTTGTTCTTCATATAATGAGCCACTCTCCCTAACAACATCACTCCTTTCTCCAGTGATTTATGATGCCACCTTTAAGCTCTGAACAGGTAAGTCTCTGCTGTCTAATTTGTTCTCCCCAATCTTTTTTTTTTTTAATTGCACTTACACTCGTTTGTATTGGTACAGACTTGAAACAGCATTTTAACTTTTTTTTTTTTATCCTCAACTGAGGACATTTTTCCATATTTTGTTCAGATAGAGTGAGAGGGGGGGAGAGAGAGAAACATCGATGTGAAAGGGACACACAAAGTGGCTGCCTCCCGCACAACTCAACCAGGGTGGGGGACAAACTGCAACCAAGGTACGTGCCCTTAACAGGAACTGAACCTGGGACTCTCTGGTCCGCAGGCCAACGCTCTAACCACTGAACCAAACCAGCCAGGGCATAACTTCTGATAAGGCAAGCCCCATTAAAGCAAACCTTTAAGACTGATTTAGCTATTCACAAGCTTTATCCTGCCTGTCATATAAATTTCAGATTTAGGTGACTGAGTTTGTCAGACAAACCAACTGGGATTTTCATGGCACTTGAATTAAATTTATATATTAAAATGGAGAAAACCGACATTCTTATAATAAGCAATCTTATCCAAAACACATGAAATGTTTTTCTATTTATTTAGGTCCTCTTCTAGTTCCTTATTAAAGTTTTAAAGTTTTCTCCTTAAAAGTTTTATATATTCTTGGGCTAATTCCTAAAGACTTTATAGTTTTGTTGCTATTATTTTATACAACATCTACCTTTGATTGCTAGTGTAGTAAATGCTATTAATTTTTGTAGGTTGATCTTCAATCCAGCAACCCTACCAAACTCTTACTAGTTCTAATAGTTTCTCTCTCGATTCAAATGGTTCTTCTAGGTAAGTGACATTGTCTGCAAATAATGAGTTTTATTATTTCCCTTCCTATCCTTATACTTAATTTTTCCCTCTATAGTGTTAGCCAGGGCCTTTCTTATCATGTTAAACAGTAATAGTGATGGGAGTATCCTTATCTTATTATTGACCTTGAAGTGAATGTATCTAAAATTTCTCTATTAAATATTATTATTTGTTGTAGTTTTTTGGTAATGATCTTTATACAGTTATCTTGTATTCTGAGTTGGATCTTATTAAATAATTTTATGGTACCAAGAAAATCATGATTTTTCTCCTTTAGCCTATTAATGAGATAAATTACATTAATAAATACATGTTAAACCATGCTTATATTCCTAAAACAAACTCTATGGATCATAATTCTTTTGACATATTACTGGATCTCATGAGCTAGTATATTGTGTTGGATTTTCACATCTTTGCCAGTAAGTGAAACAGATCTATAATTTTCTCATATTATCCTTATCTAGTTTTAGAATCAAGACTTCACTAACCTCATAAAATGAACTCGGCATCTCTCTCTTTTTATTCCTTGTCCCAGAACAACTTGTACAAAGGAATTGAGTATTATCTAGAAGTTCAGTGCAACTCATAAAATTATCTGGGTCCAGAGGTTTTGAAGGGGAGGGGAGGTGTCTTTAACTACCATTTCAGTTTATTAAATATTTATTAGGCAGTTGAAGCTATCTTTTTCTTCTGATACCAACTTTCAGTTTATAGTTTTCTAAGTATTTATACATTTCATCTAGGCTTTCAAATTTATTAACTTACAGAAATACATAAAATTATTTTTTATATCTCATGTTTTTAGTTATTTCCCATTTTTCGCTTATTTTATTTGCAACTTTTTTCCTTGATCAATCTTATGACAGAGGTCTATCAGTGGTTCTCAACCTGTGGGTTGCGACCCCTTTGGGGTCGAACGACCCTTTCATAGGGGTCACCTAAGACATAACACTAGCAAAATTACAGTTATAAAGTAGCAACGAAAATAATTTTATGGTTGGGGGTCACCGCAACATGAGGAACTGTATTAAAAGGGTTGCGGCATAAGGAAGGTTGAGAACCACTGGCTCTAGCTTATTAATCTTCAAAGAACAGTCTTTTGGTTTGGCAAATCTTTTGTTCCTTAATTTCACTGATTTCTGCTTTTTTTTAATGTTGTTTTTTGAACTCTTCAAATGAAGTCTGTTTAAGCACTAGAGCAAACGTCCTTCAGCATTTAGATAAGTCACTCTGCCAACTCTGTCCAAGGTCTGCTTTTACCACATAGACTTCAACACACAAACTATACAACATGTATTCTCATGCACGCATAACATAGGAAAAAAATCAAATACAAATCTTACCAACCATACCTACATATGAATGCTTTTGGTTAAAGCAGTATCTTGAAGGGAAATAAGTAAGGTTTTGTGCTGTTCCCACACACACACACACACACACACACACACACGAATGTGTAAGGCTGTGATTATACATCTGAAAAGGCAAACATTTTCTGCAATGCTAATTGGACAATTACTGGAGCAGTTTGATAAAATTAGTAACTAGAAATGGCTTTACCAGATGCCATTCAAAATTTGCAGTTACTAATAGAAGAGAAAAATCTGGTCAATTTTCACCCCCACCCCTCCCCCAAAAAAACCCTACTCAAAGCAAAAGCACTTTCTTTCCCTCTAGCTATGGAAGCATACATCCTGGTCAGGGGCAGTTCGGATTCCAAAACAGATTTTGGTCTCAAACTGTTCTGCCTGCAACTGAGCGTTAAGGCAAATCACTAAAATAAAAGTTCCGACACGCAACAGAATTGGGGACGTGGACACATGCCGAATGGCTTACTCTTTTCACTGTCCGCTTTGAAACTAATGCTCTAGATTATGAGCTTCAAAACGGGTGTCCCAGCTCCCGCTGCACCGGTTTACTCGGGAAGCAACTCGTGTTCTCTCCCATTAGGTGCAGAAGGTGTCCGCGGAGAAGGGGCAGCACGAGCGCAGATGTAGGTCAACTTTCTCCTTGCAGACTCGTTACCGCGCGCGGGCCAGAGGCACGAGAACCGGACTTGCCAGCTGCTCCTCTCCGGCTACAGAAGTGACTGAAGGCCTCCCCTACGGAAACCCAAGCTGCCTTCTTTCCCTCTCCCGTCTGCGGGGGAAACTTGGAGGGGGGTGGGGTGGGGAGAAGAAGAGAGCGTCCCGTCGTTGAGTGACAGCCAGCAGTGATAGGGATCGCGTTCGCAGGAGAACTCGGGGCCCGGTGCGCACCCCCCTGCTCCCCGAAGCCAGGTAACACAAGAAGCCAGGGCCGCCCTGGCGCTGGCCGCAGACACCCGGCGGAGGGGAGGGAGGCGGGAGGAGAGGGGAGGGGAGACCCGGGCCTGAAACAAAGGAAGCGGGGCTGCTGCTCCGAAAGGGGTGGGGTGCGCGTCCGGGTGGGAAGGAGGGGAGCCACGGCTGTGGGGGGCAGGCTGGACTCACAGAACTTGGAGGTGGAGGTGTTGATGTTGATGGTGGAGCTGGGGGTGGGGGCGGGGACCGCCTTGGCCACCGCGGCGGCCGCGTCGCAGCTCTTCAACATCATGATCACCCCATTGGCCTCCGGCGGTGGCGGCGGCCCCAACTGGAGCCCCTCCTTGGGGCCTTTCCTGTCCACGGAGACCGCGGGCACCGCCAGCAGCTGCCCCCCCGGCGGCTCTCGGCTAGGGACGGGGATCGACGAGGGCGGTGGCGGGGGCTGCCGGAAGCCGTCCACGGCTGCCTCCCAGTTGTTGTGGTTCTGGTCGTCCATCATCGCCTCGTAGCTGCCCCCCTCCTCCTCTTCCATGCTTTCCTCCATCCTGCCGGCCCCCAGCACCCGCCCGCCTCACAGGCACCTGCCGCCCGTCTCAACCCCGGGCCAGGGGCACCGCAGCCTGCCCGAGGTCACATCGCCGGGAGGGCGGAACGGGCGCGGGCAGGGCGGCGGGGCGCCGGGTCGCTCACTCCGCGCGGGGCTGACTGTTGGAGACAGGGCTGACGGGGTGGGCGCTCCCGGGCTCTCGTCTGGGAGAGGCAACCGTAAAGCGGCAACGCCCCTCACGACATTTTACAGCAGCTTCCAACAGGCAGTTGGAAAGGGCAGCTGGAGGCGCGGCCAGGAGAGCACGTGGTGCGAGAAAGCAAAGCGAAAAGGGGCGGGAGCTGTGAGTCACCCCCACGCCAGAGGTTCGCCCCGCCTCGGCTGCCGGAGCTCTGAGAACCGAGGGGGGACGGGTCGGGGTGAGCATTCCTCGGCCCCGCCCCCGCCCCGGGCTCTCGTAATAAGGGAGTTTCGCTGCGCAAGCGCGGTGGCAGTCTGGTTACCCTGACGACCGGGGAGTCTGCACGGCTCCTGAAGCTAAATGGCAACCTCAGCGGGCGGTCGTGTGGCACCCGCTACCCTCTTGGTGGTGGTTTTCTAGCACTCACTCGGTTACCGAGCCTTGGCACCGCAGAGGGCCTCGCAGCCCGGCCTTGACCTGGGGACGGAGCTTGGGAGCCGCAACAGTCCTCCAGTCGCTGTTTGAAACGTGGAACCGCTTGGACATCCCAATATGGGACTGCTTGCGGGCCTTAGCCCACACCACCCAGACGCTCAAAACCGAGAATAAAAACTGAAACTTCGCAGGGTGGCCAAAAATATGAATGCGTTTGAAATGTGCATTGACTTTTTTTTTAAGTTCCTAACTCCTCCATGCACCGAGGCCAGAAATTTTAGCAAACTTAAGATCCGTGCACTGTTTCACAAATCTACAAATTTGAGATCGAGTCTTGAAAGAAAAAGAAGAAAGATTATGCAACTATTAATTTATTTCTCTGCATTCTCAAAATACAGCAAGAGCAATAATATCAGGACATACGTTGTAATTGTTCATCGTGGAGCTGGTTCTAGCTACTGGTGCTAAGAAGGGGTGTCTAGAAAAACCCTGTATTACAGCTCAGCTAGCCGATAAGCTTTTTTTCCACAAATACGTAATTAGTGCGAAGTGAGGAATGACTTCAGCCACTAAGAAACTCTTTGATGTACTTCAATGTCCACATTTATTTCAGCTTCTTTCCACAAGTTTTCCCAATATATTCTGCCCAATGGACAGTTTTTACAAATAACTTAGAATGATTTAATTTCAGACAGTGCTTCCTTATATTAATTAAAGACATGTTTTTTTAATCAGCACATGTTTTTAATTTTCTGGGCCTGGATGTTTTGAGAATACAAAATAAGGAGAAAAAAAATTTAAGTAAAAGACAAGACAATTGAGTGAAATGCTGAGGGGGAATATACAATCCTGTGCCCAGCTACAACAACAGCAGCATAGAAAGAAGGAAGAATTAGTCTTTTGCAGACGAACAACTGAGTTTGTCATCAATAAACTTTCTAGGTAGGTGGATGGGTGTGTGTGATGAGATAGAGGTCTTTACATAATAAAAGATTCAATACACAAGGAAGATAAGTCATAAATATGTCACATGGTGACAAAATACATAAAGCAAAAATTAGCCAGTGCAGAAGAAAAATAGACCATCAGAGCAGATGATTTTCACACACCTGATAGACTGCAATGTGTTAATAGTAAACCCCCATAAGATATGTTCATGTCCTAATCCCTGGAACCTCTGAATGTTACTCCATTTGGAAACAGGATCTTTGCAGATGTAATTAAAGATCTTTAAAGATCTTGAGATCATTCTGGATTATCCAGGTGGATCATAAATCCAATGACAAGTGTCCTCATAAGAGAAAGGCAAAGGAAAATCTGAGACAAGATGAGACAGGAGGAAGCAATGTGATACAAAGGCAGAGACTGGAGAGATACAGCCATACACCCACCCAAATGCTGACAGCTACTATAAGCTAGAAGAAACAAAGGATAGATTCTTCCCTGGAGACTCTAGAAAAAATGCAACTCTGCTAATACCTTGATTTCAGACTTCTAGCTTCCAGAATTGTCACAGAATACATTTCTGTTGTTCAAAGCCACCCTTTTGTGATGATTTGTTACAACAGCCACAGAAAACTAATACATAGATCAAGGGGACCAAAAAATCTCTAAGGGACTTAGAAGATTTGAATAACAACACAATTACCAAGCTTGATTTGATGAATACATGTAGAATATTACACTCAGTAACTGCAGATATGTACATTCCTTTCAAGAATATGTGAAACATTTACAAAAATTGAACATACTGGGTCATAAAGCAAGTCTTCTCATGACTGAGGTTTGGTATCATAGCAACTACATTCTCTGACCACATGTAGTTAAGTCAGAAATCAACAACCAAAAGACAGCCAGGAAACTCCCATATTTCTACTCTTCCAATCAACTTATAGGTCAGAAAATCATAATGGAAATTAGAAAACATATAGAACTGAAGGCATTGGTACTATCATAGCAATATAACTTCCATTTTAGTAAGGCCCTAATCCAGGGATTTTTATCCAGCACACTGGTGAATGCTGTACCCTTCACATGTGTACTGCCAAAATGATCCATGTAAGACATTAATTTTTGCTATAATTGGTTAGATACATCATTATGGTGTTGGGGTTCAGAATGAGTAACCCTAAAATGTGCCTTTGTGGTATGTGGATTATTTTGAGCTAAAGCAACTGAGATCCTGCAGGCTCATGAGAAACTTCTGTCCCCCACCCTTAACTACCTAGAAGAATTTAAATTAGGGGCCTTGCCCTGGCCGGTTTGGCTAAGCAGTAAAACATCAGCCCGCGGACCAATGAGTCCCGGGTTCGATTCCAGCCAAGGGCATGTACCTTGGTTGCAGTTCGTCCCTGGCCCTGGTCGGAGTCATGCGGGAGGCAACCAGTCAGTGTGTCCCTCTCACATCGATGTTTCTCGCTCTCTCTCCCTGTCTCTCCCTCTTTCTCTACCTGAAGATAAATAGAAAAATATCCTCAGTGAGGATTAAAAAATAAATAAATAAACTAGGGGGTCTGCCAGTAATAAGTTATTAATCAGAAATAACTTTTTAGGACCTATCTGTAGGGCAAGGCAAATTACTAATTACTGAACATCTGTTCTTCTCATCATTCTGCAAATGACATTACTCCCCTCTGAAGCCACAAGGCATCTTACTTCATCCTTAGCTCAGAATGCCATATACCTCATTTTAACTTCTGTCCCTGAACCTCATGCATGTAGTGTCTCTATCTCGTGTGTATGTATGTGATTAAATTTGGTTATTTTCTCTTGTTAATCTGTCTCATGTATATTTCATTATGTTCCAAAAGAACATTGAAGGGTAGAGAAAAGTTTCTTTTTCACCCACAATGGAAAAATCTAATGACGACTGGGCCAAAGCAGTCACTGACAGGGTACAACTTGCCATAAAGAAGAAGAAACACCATCTACTAAAGGGAAATCAAATGAACATATTAGTAACTGGTTGATTTTATGGGCAGTAAGAGACTTTCTCATATTACACTTAAAAACATAATATATTTTAATAGTTATTCTTCAAAATCTTCAGTGATTTGTTCTGGTACATGGAGATGGGAATAATATTATCTGCAATCATTGACTCAACAATATTGGACAGTTATAACACAGGTTAATAATTACTATAACTGTCCATAGTCACAAATATTAATCTGTTTGACTTTTTGGGTTGTTTTTTTCCCTATTTCCCATTAGGTTGTGAGTTTCTCTAAAGCAGGATAAATATTTATGTAAATTTGTATATGTAAAGAAAAGACTAATTCGCCCTGGCCAGTTTGGCTCAGCGGTTAGAGCATCGGCCTGCAGTCCGGAGAGACCCGGGTTCGGTTCCCGCTAAGGGCACGTACTTCGGTTGCAGTTTGTCCCCGGCCCTGGTTGGTCGTGCGGGTGGCAGCCACTCGATGTGTCCCTTCACATCGATGTTTCTCTCTCTCTCTCCCTTCCTCTCTCTCCCTCCCAATCTATCTGAACAAAAAATGGAAAAATATCCTCGGGTAAGGATTAAAAAAAAAAAAAAAGAAAAGACTAATTCAAGACTAATCCAACATTAATAGCAGTTATCTGGGGGTAATGGGATTCTGAGTGGATTTAATAGTTCTTGGTAGCTGTCACTGTTTTCTATGTTCCCTACAATGAACATGTATCACTTTTATAATCAGAAAAATATTCCAAAGCCTATAGTTTAAAAAGTAAATGCAAACAACATTAAGGAAGTATAAATTGGAATTCTACACATTAAAATGTTCGTTTTGGCTTCTAGAAACAGAAACCCCAAGTAAAAAAAAAAAAAAATGCTTCGAAATCAAGGCTATTCATTGGCTCACCAATAAGGTCTAGAAAGGGCAACGGGGAGGGAGTAGTTCAGTCAGGGCTCCAGTTCTGTTCTGGGCCATGTTCTTTGACCTCAGGCTGCCAGCAACATGGCTGCATAGCCCCAGGCCTCATATACATAGACCTCAGTGTCAGGATGAAGAGGGCCCATCCCATGACTTCTGGTAGCTCTCTATTATGAGCAAGCAAGTTCATTCCCAAAAGCTCTCAGTAAACTTCCTCTCAAAGTCTCATTGGCCCATTTCTGAACCAATATTTAGACTTGCTTTCCAGGGCCATTTACTGGCAAGAGTTTGGATTTATTCTAATAAAGTTTACCCCTGGAATTCAGAGTAGAATCAGTTTCTCCTTAAGCACATGGGCTGAAAGGGAAGCTACAAGAGCAAAAATCGGGGTTAAGTTGGGAGGTTTGAGTGAGTGCTCAGTAGGCAACAATGCCCATTATAAGCTCATGTACCTAATCTGTGGGGGGCCTATCCATTACACAACCTCATCCCAACTTCTCCAGGCCCTCCTCTTAATAAATATCTCCCACCCTCGCTGGTTTGGCTCAGCGGTTAGAGCATCGGCCTGCAGTCTGGAGAGACCCGGGTTCAGTTCCCACAAAGGGCACGTACCTCGGTTGCAGTTTGTCCCTGGCCCTGGTTGGGTCGTGTGGGTGGCAACCACTCGATGTGTCCCTTTCACATCGATGTTTCTCTCTCTCTCCTTCCCACTCTATCTGAACAAAATATCAAAAAAATATCCTCAGGTGAGGATAAATAAATAAATATCTCCCTAATCAATATATGTATA